GTTGGGGGTTCCCCTGGGTGGGAAGACCCAGACTGTGGGTTACCGGTGGGGGCAGAACCCCGAGGTAAAGGGGCACCGGGGTCTGGGAGGGACACGGGGACTGAGGTAGGCGAGACACCAGCCAGGAGGAGGCGCTCCATATGCTGGAGAGCTAATTCCCGAGATGACCAGTAGGAGGTGCCGTGCCAGTGAGCGTTCGCTTCGCTTCGCTACAGGCTCTGCCTATAATTAATCATTCTGTGCACCCCTTCCAGCTTCTGCAACCAATGAGGCAGGGGTCCTACAGAAAACAGATGCCTTCACTATACTCCTAGGTTCTTCCTATGCACTGAGTGAGATAGAGGTTCTCTGGAAAATAATGCCATGTGATCATGTAAATAAACACTGTGTCATAATGCACACACAGGGGGAGGGCGTGAATTAAAGCTGGATGGGCCATCTTCATTCTGGCATTTCCTAACTTTGGGGTGCTTGACTCTGCAACCTTAACGTCCTGCTACTGCAGCTGTGTTGTATAGTGGGGTAGTCAATAGGCAGACCACAGGCCTAATCCAGACCCCCCAGACCTTTTGAATGCACCGCAAAGGTCAAATGGGTGAAGCTGTGCCAGCTCCCCAACGCAGGGCCCCCTGCCGCAGGGGGTGGGCGGCTGGGCTGAGCTGTGGGGCACAGTGTGTCCCCAGGTGGCTGCTTGTGCACCTTGCAGCTCCTTCAGCTCTGTCCTCCACTGGCCAGCAGCAGTAAAATCCTTGCTGATCTTAAACACAAAAAAGAAGCTTACAAGAAGCGGAAGATTGGACAAATGACGAGGGAGAAGTATAAAAATATTGCTTGGGCATGCAGGAGTGAAATCAGGAAGGCCAAATCACACTTGGAGTTACAGCTAGCAAGGGATGTTAAAAGTAACAAGAAGGGTTTCTCAAGGTACGTTAGCAACAAGAAGAAAGTCAAGGGAAGTGTGGGCTCTTACTGAATGGGGGAGGCAACCTGGTGAAAGAGGATGTGGAAAAAGCTAATGTACTCAATGCTTTTATTGCCTCTGTCTTCACGAACAAGGTCAGCTCCCAGACTACTGCAATGGGCAGCACAGCATGGGGAGGAGGTGACCAGCCCTCTGTGGAGAAAGAAGTGGTTTGGGACTATTTAGAAAAGCTGGATGGGCACAAGTCCATGGGGCCGGTTGCGCTGCATCCGAGGGTGCTAAAGGAGTTGGTGGATGTGATTGCAGAGCCATTGGCCATTATCTTTGAAAACTCATGGCAATCGGGGGAGGTCCTGGATGAATGGAAAAAGGCTAATGTAGTGCCCATCTTTAAAAAAGAGAAGGAGGAGGATCCAGGGAACTACAGGCTAGTCAGCCTCACCTCAGTCCCTGGACAATCATGGAGCAGGTGCTCAAGGAATCAATTTTGAAGCACTTAGAGGAGAGGAACGTGATCAGGAACAGTCAGCATGGATTCACCAAGGGCAAGGCATTCCTGACTAACCTAATTGCCTTCTACTGCCTTCTATGGCTCTGTGGATGTGGGGAAAACAGTGGATGTGTTATCCCTTGACTTTAGCAAAGCTTTTGATATGGTCTTCCACAGTATTCTTGCCAGCAAGTTAAAGAAGTGTGGGCTGGATGAATGGACTATAAGGTGGATAGAAAGCTGGCCAGATCGTCGGGCTCAAAGGGTAGTGATCAATGGCTCATTGTCTAGTTGGCAGCTGGTATCAAGTGGAGTGCCCCAAGGGTCGGTCATGGGTATGGTTTTGTTCAATATCTTCATTAATGATCTGGAGGATATTGTGGATTACACCCTCAGCAAGTTTGCAGATGACACTAAACTGGGAGGAGAGATAGATAAACTGGAGGGTAGGGATAGGATACAGAGGGCCCTAGACAGATTAGAGGATTGGGCCAAAAGAAATCTGATGAGGTTCGACAAGGACAAGTGCAGAGTCCTGCACTTAGGATGGAAGAATCCGATGCACCGCTACAGACTAGGGACCGAGTGGCTCGGCAGCAGTTCTGCAGAAAAGGATCTAGGGGTTACAGTGGACAAGAAGCTGGATATGAGTCAACAGTGTGCCCTTGCTGCTAAGAAGGCTAACGGCATTTTGGGCTGTATACGTAGGGGCATTGGCAGCAGATCGAGGGACGTGATCGTTCCCTTCTATTCGGCATTGGTGAGGCCTCATCTGAAGTACTGTGTCCAGTTTTGGGCCCCACACTACAAGAAGGATGTGGAAAAATTGGAAAGAATCCAGCGAAGGGCAACAAAAATTATTATGTGGCTGGAGCGCATGACTTATGAGGAGAGGCTGAGGGAACTGGGATTCTTTAATCTGCAGAAGAGAAGAATGAGGGGGGATTTGATAGCTGCTTTCAACTACCTGAAAGGGGGTTCCAAAGAGGATGGCTCTAGACTGTTCTCAGTGGTAGCAGATGACAGAACAAGGACTAATGGTCTCAAGTTACAGTGGGGGAGGTTTAGGTTGGATATTAGGAAAAACTTTTTCACTAGGAGAGTGGTGAAGCACTGGAATGGGTTACCTAAGGAGGTGGTGGACTCTTCTTCCTTTGAGATTTTTAAGGTCAGGCTTGACAAAGCCCTGGCTGGGATGATTTAGTCGGGGATCGGTCCTGCTTCGAGCAGGGGGTTGGACTAGATGACCTCCTGAGGTCCCTTCCAACCTTGATATTCTGTGATTCTATGAGTACAAGGATGGGACAAGTGGGCCATGTGGGCGAACGAGCAGGCTCTGGCATCCAGGCTCAGTGAGTGGGGTGGCGGGAGCCTCTGCGGGCAGGGAGCTGGGTGGGAGGCAATTGGAAGCTTGGGGGAGCTGAGCTGCCTGGCCTACCAGTAAGCAAAGCTGCCATGCACCTCTTGGCTAGGCTGCCTGCCCTGCTATGGGGCCTCAGAGCTCAACAGGGAGGGGTGACAGGGCCAGACCCCGGCTCCCTGCCCTGGGGTGGGGGTGAGGCCTGCAGGGAGGCGCTGACTGATGGGCTGGCACTGCATTCCAGGCCTATGCCAGCTGCCCTGACACCATCACAGGGAGTCCAACACTGACCCCACCTTGAGAATGAGACCACAGGTACCACCGCCAGCACCCACAAATATCCCAGCCAGTACACACACTCCCCTCCAGCACCCCGCAAATACCCTCTCCAGTTCTCTCTGCCCTCCTGGCAGTGTTCTCTTGAAATACGGTAACCCTAAGATGTGGAGGGGGGCAATCGAGAGGTTTGGGGAGGGGAGGAAGGTGATGGGCAATCGGGGTATTACATGCCTATGATAATTTTATTTGACAAAACCAAAGATAATGCTCTTTGTAAACCCAAAACAAATTCAAAACGTAAACCAGTTGTCTAAAAGTGTTTTAATGCCAATATTTGCATCTATTTGACATTTTATCCATGTACTTTCTCTAAGTCTCAGATGTAATGTATTATACCTTTCTTGGAGGTTATTTTAGGTTATACGGTGTTTTGATTTTAGTTTTCATTTAATGTACCAAAACTATAAGCAGTAGGCCCTGGGTGTATTACACAGCATTGTATGTTTTTGAACAGGGGCACGTGCAGTGTGAAAAATGTTTCCCTGGAGTCTGTACCTTGACTAGACCTTGACCAAGAAATTTGGACATTGACAAAAAATAATTGACTATCCCTGTTGCATATAATGTGCACATGCAGTGGTTGCCATCTAAAAGTCAACATGTACTACAGGTCAGGTGCAACAGATTCTTCCTAAAAGTGGGGGCCTGCCCCCACCCCTCCATGGCTCCACCCCTGCCCCTCCTTTTTCCCCCAAGACCCCGCTGCCTAGCCAAGCCAGAAGCTGGAGCTGGGCTGGGGATCCTGGGATCCTCCACCTGCCCAGCATGTGGGGGAGGTGAGAGTAGTGCCTGGCCCATTTCCCTGCCCCAGGGTTCCCTGCCCAGGGCAGGTAGAGGGTCTGCAGCTCCACACAGCTGCCTGCGCAGATCTTACCATGGCCCAGCTCCGGCTTCCGTCCTGGCCTGGGGGTGAGGCCTTGGGGGCCAAAGAGGCACAGCTGGGCCATGGTAAGAGCGTCAGCTGTGGGGAACTGCCGACCCTCCATCTCCCTGGGTGGGAGGTCCAGGGGGTGCGGACATGAGCCCTGGGCAGGTGGAGGGTCTGTGGGAATGTACAGCAGCTGCTGGAAATGTTGACTTGTTAATAGCGATCCCTGGCTAGATTAATTTAACTACTGACACCCAGGGCAGCACTGGAGAGGAATTAAGGGAAAGTCAATGCCCAGATGATTTTACAGTCTAAAAACCTATTTCTGCACATCCTTGCTCACACAAATAGCCCCATTGATTTAACCAGGATTTATAGAATTAGCCCTTTTGTCCAATAGCACTATGCATTTCTCGAGATAGGCTTGTTTGCTGCCATCAAGGAGCCAAGCAAGTGAATTTGGTGCCCGCTATAGTTAGAGCTTCAGGGCTTAGATTAAAAGAACCAAAATAGATCTGGAGCATTTAATCCAGAGGTTATTCCTGGGGCTTTGGGTACGTGCCTATTTGGGATTAAAATCTGCAGAGGGGATCCTACAATCATCTGGATTTTAAAAATGGCTGAACTACCCCCATATAGCCAGGCCGAGGGAGAGGTTCTTAGGGAAGGGAAATGTCTGATCTTAGTGTGTGGCAGGAAAGCCCATGGCAAGTCATTCTGTAAAGCAGGGGAGAAAGAGGCAGCTTCATTCGTCGCTTGGGGAAAAAGCCAGCGGGACTCAGGAGTGAAATCAGAAGAGCTGGGCTGGTGGTGATGAGCAGAGCTCTACCCTTGCTATCCCTCTTGCTGTCCCTCTCTAATCCTGCTGTGTGCGTGTGTGTGTGTGTGTGTACACATCCCTTCAAGCCCTGGAGAAAAAAGGGTCGGCTGTGACGCTGGCCCAGAAGCCACACAGATTGGAAGCTGCGATGGGGGCGGGTCTGGGCTGCTTTAATCCTGCCTCCACTGGGATTACTGGGTAACACGGTCCTGTAATCTGCACAGTAGCTCTGAGCGCGCAGAGCAATCTCCCAGCAGAGGAAATCGGCAAGTTGCGCCCGCTTTCCCCAGCGCAGAACAGAGCAGCCAGTGTTTGGGGGGCGTAGAGGGAAGAAGCAGGTAAGTGCCAGCAAACTTGTCTTCTGTTTTCTCACACTGGCTGTGTTTTTCTTTTTCTTTTCTCTTGAAATTGCTTCCTATAAACCTGCTTTATAATTTTTTTTAAATGTGCAAAACTCTTCAATTTCCAAACCACCCTGAAACAGTGAGAACTCTTCCAGCCAAGCCAGGCTCATCTCTCCTGATCTATTCCGGCTGTTCTAATCTAACCTGTCCTGGTCTAAATACTGCTACTCTTTCTACTCTCGGTAATACCTGCGTGGGATGGGGTTAGAGCTTTTGACGTATGTGCAAGGGGGTTAGGAATAGCGTGTGTGCCGAACACTGATATTTGTGCACTATGTGGAGGGCGAATTGTAGGTCCAGGGAAGCTGTCTTTATCTTCCACTTCCCCCTCCCCCTCGCCCCCCATTCTTTATTTTTACCTCTTCTGTAGTCTCTCCCTGGCTTTCTCCTAAAACTCTTTTAAACTGCCCTGATGGTTTTATTGCCAGGGTCAACAGCCCCAAGATATTATAAACACTCACATTGCTTTCCTCACTTGCAAAAAGACAGCTGCAGGACTATATAATAGTATAATTCACGATGTGCTCATCTTAACATACAGATCCTAGCTCTCTTTCAATGTTGTGAACTATACAAGCCAATGCATGTGGGCCAAACCTGAAGCTACAGCAAAGTTTGCAGGTGACAAGAGCTGGAGTTCTGGTGTGGGTCTTGTTTGGGTTTTTTTCATTCTTAACTCCTTGTGATCTATAAAAATGTGTGAAGCATCAGAAAGGAGCCGGTGCTAAGCCGGGTTTGCTGCATTGGAACATAGTGCCCTGCCTTTGGGCAAAATCTTGGAAAGTGCCTTATGCTGTGTGAGCTGGGTGGGCCAGCTGTTGCCAATGATCGCTGGGTTGCACGCATTTAAAAAAAACACACCTTTTTTCCGCTTTAATTTTTAATTGGGCATGGGAGTTACATGTCTCCTAGCTCTGGGAACTGTTGCAGCATAGATCAGGTGTCATTGCTCTGGACTGAGACAGGAGGTTCCCGGTCAGCACACTATTTGAGAACACCAGGTTCTTGCACATTGCACCGGGAGACAGAGAGAGTCTTTGGCATTCGATTTCACCACCAGCAGCAGCATGTGTGTCCTTGCTGCATGTCACTTGGTGGGCTCTCTGCAATCGGGGTATTGAGGTGTGGCTGTCAGGACTCTGGGCAGGCTCAGAGGGGGTCACTGAGTGCAGCAGGCTGGATGTAATTTGACTGTCGGAGCTGGCTCAGTGTAGGTGCTGTGGCCCAGGCTGTCTGTGGGGAGCAGGTGGGACGTGCCTGGATTTGCCTTGCCCTGAGCAGGGTATTTATAGAGCCTGGTTGCTCAAGGAGCCATCAGATGGCTAGGGGGAGGCAGGGGTGGCACATTGCATTCCCCTTCTGCCCACATGCTCCAACTGCCAACCAAGCACTTTTCATCACTGTGTCCACTTCTAACTCCACCCTTCACCCAGCCAGTGATTTGCATAGCCATGCCCATTAGCCTTGATTATAGAGGGGCACCAGGGAGAGCTTGCCCCATCCCCACTTTTAGCCAGCCAGGGGAAGGGGGTGCCTAGTACAGGAGAGGCTGGGTGGAGCCAGGCGGGAGCAGTGCTAAGTGTGCTTGGATTGCTGGAGCTGGGGTCTCCCATCCCCAGTGACCAAGCCAGGTCCGTTCGATGATCATTCACATTTTCCAGCTGACCCCCCCGATATGCAGCCAGCTCTGGGGTAAAGCAGCAGCCAACAGCTGAGGAAGAAGGGGTGATTTTGGCTCCAGGCGCCAAGGCAAGTGCCTGCTCTTCAGGGAAGGGCTGGGGGATCCCACACTGATCGGAGAGGGCCTTGTTTGGTCTAAAATCCTTCCCCAGGTGTGGGGAACAGCGCAGTGGGGCTGGTCCCCCGTTGCCTTCCCCCTTGGGCCGACGTGGGTGTGAGAGACTCCCACGCTGCTCTGGGGGTGCGGCGCAGCACTCGCGTCACACTGCATGCCAGCAGATCAACATGGCAGCATCTCACACTTGCATCCCACGGTTGAGAATGGCTGCATCAGGGGAGGCCAACCCAGGACCGGGGCATAGGGGTGGTGGGGGGGGGTGTCAGCAGTCAGTTCCACTGACTTCAGAGAGCTCCGGCTCAGGGCCAGATGGCTGAGTCTGATCAGCCGGGACTCAGGCCTCTGGCTCCAGGGTGTGTGTGTGTTTCACAGCCAGGGGAGCAGCCCCCTTTGGGTAAGGGGCTATCAGATCTGCTTTGCAGCCAGGGTCACCTCCCCTCTCACCGCTCAGAAGAGGGTCGGGCTGGCCACACTACAGAGACAGGTGTCTGTTGTCCTGCTGGGCCAGGGGCTACCACAACCACAGGTCCTGTAAGGGGACCCTGTGCCGGAGCAAGCCGGAGCTAGGGCTAGTGCACAGGCCATGCGTTCACATGCTCAGCCCCAAACAAGGACCCCTTGTTTCCAGCTGGAGACAATTAAAGGGCCATGGCCGGGGCAGGGGGTGTCTAACTACTTTACTCGGCTCTTCCCATGCCACCCTTCATCTGAGTCTCTCGGGGCCTCCTGGTGCTCATGTGTGACCACACATCCACCTTCACACTCGGGGTGGGCAGCCCCATCTCAGAGGTGAGAGGAGTCCCTGCGAGGTGCCAGAGCCAAGCCTGCTCCCATCCCAGACCAAGAAAGGAACCCAGGAATCCGGGCCCCCAAGGCTTGCTTCTAACCACCAGACCCAGCTTGCCTCCCGTAGCTGGGACTAGCACCCAGACTCCCAGTCTCTTATGCCAGTCACTAGATCCCACTCCCCTGTGACAGCTGGGATTTTCTAGACCAGGAATCAAGCTGCTCTATCCCCTGCTTTAACCGCCTGACCACAACCAATTGCCCTGTGACTCTGCCCCCCGGCCTGCTCTGGTACAGAGCCTGGGGCGGGTGGGGACACCTTTGATCAGCTCTGCCCTTCCCTTTCCCTGCTCCATCCCAGAGCTGCCGCAGCAGCTGCTAGCCAGCCTGGCTGAAGGCAGCGATTTGGGGCCCAGAGCTGGGAGTTCAGAGCTGCTGGGGTTTCAGCTGTATCTACACCCACTGGCTGCGGCTGTATCAAATAAACATGCTACACCAGGGCCTTTCTTTGGTGGATTTGTCGGGAGTGAAGCGCTGGGGTCCCACAAAGTTTGTTTTCTCAGTAAACCATTCTCCAGGCTGAGTAATAGCCAGCATGGTGGGGAGCTGGGGACCCGGCGCCCGCTCACCTAGGCTGGCCCTGGCATGCTGGGGGCATGTGAGGTTTGGCTGCCACTCATGCGCCCCCTGCCGCGCAGTGCTGCTGACACAGAGATTTGCTAACAGTCGGGTCCTTCGTGTTCACCCTCAGGTCCCCTTCACATTCCACCAGGGGAATGTCAGTCGGGCCCCGGTTCCAGGGGTAATGCCTAAACCAAACAGTGTTCTAACCCCCATCTCCCCTCGTTTGTTATCACTTCCCTGAAAGGGCCGCATGTCTGCATCTGTCACCTGCAATCCGGTCGCCTCTGGGATACTGGAATGAGGCCCACGCCCCACTGTGCAGGTGCTGTGTGTATACACACACACACACACACACACACACCTAGCCCCACCCAACGTAGGCTAGCTAGGCAAAGGGTGGGAGGGGAAACAGAGGCACAGCAGGGGGCATTCACCCAGTAGGGCAAGGGGAGAACCCACATGTCTAGGATCAGCCATCCAAGGCAGAAGGCTGACCTAGTGGTTAGGACAGGTTCCGTTCTGGGCTTGGCTCCAAACTTGGGCCTGGCCTATGTTAGATCTAAGGTAGGGTGTTAGCTAACACATGCTACCAAGTCTAGCCTAGACAGTGGCAGTGGGCCGTTAGTGTGTGTTCAGCTGGTTCGATTAAAATCCAGGCCTCCCCCAGGAATGGACAGGACTGGCTGAGATCACATCCAGGGGCTGATGTCTCTCCTAGCTTCCTCCAATGTACAGCCTGTCCGAGGGAAAATGGCCTGGAGACCCCAATGGCTGGGGCGGATCCAGTCCCGTGAAACCCCTGAGGGGTGGTGCCCTGGTCCAGTCCTGCTGGCGTCCACAGTGGGCTCATTTCTCCAAACCCCGACGGGGCAGTTTGCATCTAACCTCGAACCCAGCAAAGAGCCTGATCCGAGTGGTGGGTCTCAGGCTCAGCCCCTGCTGGCCTAGCCTTTTATTATTGTAGCCCCAGACATGGCCCAGGCCCCCACTGGGCCAGGCTCTGTACAGACACATCACAAAGAGCTGGCAGCGTCAGTGCTAAGCTGGGCCACTTGCCTGAGACCAATCATCTGAGTTAAAGGGTTAGGCGCCTAAATCCATATGTCCCGGGCATGTTACACACCCCGGTCTGCAGAAGCGGGGTCTGCACCAGCCCCAGCTCCGGAGCATGGCTTCTCTAGTGCAGGATCCAGAGGGCCCCAGTCCGAACTCCACTACGCTGGCCAGCAGCTGTCACACAGGCACCTACGGGAGTCGCTTGTGGCTCAGGAGTTGAGCACCCACTGCTAGCAATGGCAAAACTCCCTCTAAGTGCAGGCCCAAGCTAGGTCAGATCTCACCCCTTTCCCCGAGGCAGCAAGTGAGCTCCCTGCTGGCCATTTGCATCCCCTGCAGCAGGCTCCATCCCTACCCACTCTGCAGCAGGTTACCTACCCGCCTGGCCTGGCCCTGGCTGGTCAAGGCTGCCTGTGATATTGGCAGCTGATGCAGGCTCCTTCCTCCTGCTCAATCACGTTCAGGGGAAGGAGCTAGTGTTGTTGGAGCATGTGTCTGGGTCTTGGGGGCAGCTCCCGCCTGCGAGAGGTTTCCCAGGACAGCATCTGACAGCTGGTGGCTCCTGCTTTGCAAGTATCCCATGGGTTCGTGTCACCCCGGCTGAGGTTACTGGGAGGTGGCTTCAGGGGTAGGCACCACATAGCCCCCCAGAGTCCCCTGGGCATGGGGA